CAGACGTTATACTAGTAGTATGGATGTCGGTCGGACAAGTTCGTTTAGCAGTGCGTGACGAGCTAAAGATTGTAAATTATGACTCAAAATCAACTATCGCGTTGTATCCATATGCATGTATCACATTCTGGGAAGCAGGTACATTTTGTAACTGGTTAATGTCGATCTGAATAAATTTTCAAGTCTCAAGGTTCGCCTCTTTAACTTAAGAAGACAGCCATAAGACCACTAGGTTTGAACCAGGAGACTATAAGGTTTCCTCAAGGCGGTGGACTCTACGTGTCTATTGGCACAGAAGTGAACTCAGGCTGTGAAAAGAGACGGTTAAGTTTGTTTCTTTAGACATTATCACATGAACCAAAATGTGCATTTTTGGATAGAAAAAAACACAAAATATCATTTTTATTCAGAAAATCCAAGTCATCACCATTTAATAGGCAGAGATTCGTGGCAGTTGTTAACTTACATGTTTGTACCGAATTTCAGCAAATGTGCTTCATTTATCATGGCACAGGTGTCAGAAATCTACATTTTTAGCTAAAAACACCCAAATAATGCGAAAAAATTGCAAACAAAATGAGCTGCCATTATATCTATACTCAGATACTTCACTCAACATCGTCAGGAAACAGGCATTCCCCCACAGGTATCCCTCTATTGCTATTTATGAAACCGTATAGAAGTCTTATCCTCTGCGTTGCTAGGGAGATGTATTTTCCTTAGCAACGGTTACCATGGAAACATGGTATGAATTTCTGAGGCCCTGAAAATGGACAATTTTCCACCGATAAAAGTTTTCTTCACGTTTTACTTATGGTATGCACTACATTTTACTGGGAAAGCAGCCCAGTGCCTCCTTAGCAACGGCCCTAGCAACGGCTTCCCCACAGAAGGCCTGTGGGAATAGAACTTTTAGATACTCATATCTCCAGATTGGATTGATGGATTTTTACGATTTAAAGCTTAAAATGTAGGGAAAAGTGTAACAAATCAGATGAATTCATGACCTAGGCTTAAAAATGCAATCTGTATATTTGACAGGTTTTGAAAAGTAAATATTCCATTTTTTTACCAATTTTTACCGAAAAATCGAATTTCAAAAGCTCGTAACTTCTCTTAGAAATGACATATTGGAACAAAATTGACATTTTTGTAATCCTTTGTTCCTGTTTTATCTGGCCACCAAGTACCGTTGGAAAATATCCATATTTGATTATTTGACACTCCCATTTGCATTATAAGTAGGAAAGGAAATGGTCCCCATGGGGTCAAAGTTCAAGGTCAGATAGCAAGGTCAAAGCTGGGCACTCAACATGGTTATCATACATTTTCAAAAAGCTTGTGGGGAGGACTATCACATGAAGGCATTCGCGTTTTGTCCCTTGATTTGGTAACAAAATCTTGTCTGGCCCATGGACTATTTATATATCTACATATTTTTGGCATTGTGGGAATCATTACATGTAAAGATATATTCAAATCTGTCTATAGCATCGAGACTCTTGAAATCTGTAGTACTTGATTCAGGAAATGTAAATACATGTAGCCTATTGTGGGGACCTTTACATGTAAAGATATATTAAAATCTGTCTCCAACATCGAGACTCTTTAAATCTGTTGTACTTGATTCGAGAAATGAAAATAGCTTGTTACGTATAACATTATACGCATTTGGTACATTCCATAACGAAGTGAAATTCATTTTCTATATGCTTTGGACAAAATGGACAGAACCTTTGGTCAAAACATTGTAATATCTACCTGTTTCAATATTCCATTTATGACTACTGATTCTTTATTGAGTTATTGCTTTACGAATTTCAAAGTTATCTATATCACAAACGTATTTTTCTTGTTCATAACAGTTTTTTATTTGTTAAAAAACGGTTTAGAATTATTTCTAATGCAACTAAACCACTCTTAGACTTGTATATGTGTGTCTTGTAGCCGATGGTTATGTAGCACTCTTGATTTAAGATTTATTTTGATTATTTTGATATCAATCAGGTTCACTCCAGCAGCATACTCAGAAGACCTGAGGAGGCAGTTCTGGCTGATGTCGCTAGACGGCACTCCGGAGGATTCTAACGATCTCAGGTAATATGTGATTTTGTTACGATCCCACAAATTATCCGTTATTCTTTATACTGGGGCCACACCGACTTAATTTTATGGATGACATTCGCGTGCGCATTATTGGTTTTCGCTTGTTCTAAAAAAAATAAAAAGATCACGTCCTCCAAGGCTCTGGTCTTCTGGTCTGGATCTAGGCCTGGGTAGTCCATGGTAGCTAGCGACAATACGGAATACGGAGCAGGTGGTAACTCTGGAGGATGGCACCCAGGCTACCGAAGCTCCACAACTCAAGAACCCAGAACATACGTTCAGTGCCGATCAATAAATTCCGCTAAAAATTCAGCAAAAAAAGCCAGCATGCACTGCCGCAAATTCACAATACCAGCTTTGTATTCCTGTGGTTTAGTAGCATTTTTATTTTTGACCGGAATTTTTTTATTCTCCCGCGTGCACTAGTTTGAGGGTCTTCAGGGGATGTCATCCATAAGATTAAGTCGGCGTGGCCTGATAGAGAAGTGACTTTGAATAGAGCAGCTGGTGTCACAACAAAGAAGTTATATGGACTCTAACCTCCTGTGTGAGCACATGTTGACAACACATAGGCATATTCTAGACGGACTGTTTCATAACATTCATTTGTGTCAGCCTTTCTCATGTTTACAGTACATTTATCAAAATACATTCTTAGATTATGTAGCAACCATAGTAAAAAGTTGAACTTTATTCCAACACACAGTTTACAGAGTCACGTATCAGTAAAGTCTCGTGTGAATAAGGTCATGTGTTTGTAAACCGTAGTTCTTGCGAGATCACGTTGTGAATTCGAAGTGATCGGTCAGTATCCTGATGAAGGCGACAGTGGTCGCTGAAAATTTGATCTCTCTGTAAACTGTGTGTTGGAATAAAGTTCAACTTTTTACTAAAAATACATTCTTATCCAGACAAATGTCCAAGCTCACAAACGACATCGAAAGTCTGTACAGCACGGGCAAGGCATGTCGGGAGGAGAATGAGAACGAGGTTTGCCACCCTCTCGAACCTGACCTCGAACACATCTTCGCGACATCACGTGACTATGACGAACTGCGGTGGGCGTGGCTCGGTTTCCGCGACGCGGTTGGTCCAGCTATGAGAGAGAAATTCGCGCGATTGGTCGAACTGAAAAACAGCGGAGCACAAGAACATGGTGAGAAAAAATATACTTTTGATGAAGGTTAGACATCTAGGTAATGAGATACACAGGGAAATTGTTACTCAAGCAACTGGATAGGGTTTAAAAACTGCACGTTTCAAGTAGCTCAAACACATTCATATATATAATATGGGACAGGAGTTTAAATCCCTTCTGCCATAAAATTGCAACATGATGTAACCCAACACCAGTCACCATGGTGATAGACGTCTGGTTCAGGTCACAGATCTTATTGTTTAGGAGGAGAAGAAGAGGAAAAAGAAAGAGCAAACTAGAAAGGCCAATATTTGACTTTGGAGCAAATACAGCGATGGGTTCACCACATTTTACGACATGGCAGGGAAAGAATGAGAAACACAAGGGAAAACAATGATTTACATTGATATAACTATAATATGAAGTAAAATACAACTAAAACAACAGTTGGATAGCTATTCCCTACTTTATTGGTTAGGATTTTTAATTGCATAATGCAAACTGTTGATTTTCAAAATAACTAGAAAGGCCAATATTTGCTTTGGAGCAAATACAGCGATGGGTTCACCACATTTTACGACATGGCAGGGAAAGAATGAGAAACACAAGGGAAAACAATGATTTACATTGATATAACTATAATATGAAGTAACATACAACTAAAACAACAGTTGGATAGCTATTCCCTACTTTATTGGTTAGGATTTTTAATTGCATAATGCAAACAGTTGATTTCTAAAAAAAAAAAAACGTCCATGCCCGGCATTCCAATGCTGGAGCAGGAAAGCTTGAAATACCTACCAAAACACTTGAATACAGACATACTGTCAGTATGGAAATGCTTCTGTGCAGGTGTTAATCAAGTTAAATCCCAACAGCCAATCAGCAAGAAATGACTCTGTGCAGGTGGAAATGCTCT